GTCACTCGACGAAACTTAAGGTTCTGATTCAGATTTGATGTTGGGCATTTTTTGAGAGCATGCGGGGTCGGACTTGCATGCCCCTCGCTGGTGTCTTTCGGGCAGTTTTCCCCCCAGTCCTTTACCTTGGCCTGGGAAAAGGGCTATCTTGGCCTATCTCTTATTTGAGCTTTCTTAATGTTCGGTCTGCTTTTTGCGTGTCAGTTTCTTCGGGAATCCGGCTTTTTCGTCCTCCTGGAACATAGCGTGTTGGGGGTGCGTTGGTTGCTTGATGTCTTAAAATTACAAGCATGGTTCCGTTCTTCTGGCGGATTTATATGCTACATAGTCACTTAACCGTGAAAGCCTCCTGGGGTCCTTAACCATGGTCCGTAGGTCTTTGGATTTGGAACATTTGCGAATCCACATTTTCTCAATAGTCAAGGTTGTTTACCTAATGGTGGTTGTACCCAAGGCTTTCGGGAAGCGGGTTTTAAAACTTCTAGATTCACTAGTGGACAATGTCCGAACAACAATTTAATCCGTCCTTACTCAAAAATTTCAAAAAATTTTCTGAATTTATTGTGTTCCGTTTTCTCAAAAATCGCGAAAATTCGGTTTTTGGTTCCAAAATAGTTCCAACCACTTCCGAACTAAACTTAACCGGTTCTATCTATTATAGTAGTGCAGTTACGATGTAACACACTAATTTAGCGCTTTTTTCCGTTTCAAGTAATATTGATATCTCAAAAATCGCGATTTGTGGGGGAATCAAAATTTCGCTATTTTGACCCTAAAAACCGGTCTGCTTTCTGTGTTTTTCACTAAAAAACGATATAGGAGTATTAATATAGGCTATATAAGTAAACATAATAGTAATACTAAACCCCTCTGGGTTTGTTTAATATCCGAATTAAGGTGCTTAACTCGGATATTCGCAGTTCGGTGAAGGGTCACTACAGTGCAGCACTGTCGAGCACCCCACAGATTACTATCTTAATTTTTGTACCAAAAGGGATACAAAACTTGTTAACGATACCCAACAGTCGATTGTTGTTGTCGTTGAGCCCCTTCTTGTTGCTCCTTGTACTGCTTGCCGGATCAGTCATCTCCCAAGACCCTTCCGAATTGAGCGCAAATCAGCTGACCCTTCCGGATTGAGCGCAATTTATCATTAACGTGCTTAAATGCTCAAATACTCCTACAGTACAAGCCTCACAACCGGGCCACAAAATTGATCGTAACAATCCTGACTGATATAAATGCCTGTAAAAACAATATATCTATCAACAACAAACGGGGGGGTCGCATCACATCTTGTCTGGGGTGATGATTTCTACTGATTTTTTACTTTTTTTTTTACTGTTTTTAGTTTTTTCGGTTATTTTTTATGTTTTTTGTTTTTCTTGGGTACTATACTACTTTTTGTTTGGTTTTATATATATCTTTAAGTGTTTTCGGTCACAAACCTCTCAGGGAACGAGGGGATGACCGATCCCCCCACCCTTCCTGGTTCGTGAATTTTCGGTCTTAACTAGGTTAAAAAGCTATTCACGGTAATCCGGAATGCTTCCGCGTTCCGAACTACCCTTCCGCCCCGGCGGTTTTGGCCTATTAAGAACGTTAATGTGAGCATCCGCTCGGCGCGGAGTGCTCGTTAACGGTTCTGCCGGTCATGATGTTAAAAAAGAATAGCACCCAGGAGCGCCATAAAAACATCTATGAAACATTCTCCCGGAAGATACATATGGACGGAAAATAAAGCTAGGTTTTAAGACGACTGGCCAACGTCTAAACAGAGCTCTACATGCTTTCTGTGGTATTTCTAACATCGGGTCGAAAAAAAAAGTTACTATTCTCCGGCTTCGACCAGAACGCTCAAATTAACTTAATTACATTGAGAAAAAGTGAGCTCATGGCTGGGTCTCAGTATCCCCAGACCACGAGGTCACTCCTAAAATCAGGGCTACAACTAATTATTGAATTATTTTTGTTTGTGTTCAGTAGATAAAAATCATCATCCCATCGAAGATGGATCAACCCTTTCCCCCAACTCCTAGCTTCTCATCCTAGCAAAATGAATTCAGATGTTAATTAATTTCAATTCAGGACATAATAGGGAAGCTAAAAGTTTGTATAAAATGCTCAGAGTTTTAGTCCCGAGACCCCTCCGGATTCTTGAATCCGGGGAAATAAGACCTTTATCTTCCTCCCAGAAGGCTGTCTTCCACCCTTCACCGTTGTTCGCAACAGCCTTGCAACTATTTTAGCGACACAATAGTTGCAACTCGGAGCGGTCTCTGTTACTTCTGTTTTTCTCTGATTCCGATCCCCAGTCTTTTTGTTGTTATCGTCGCAACCACTGCTGTTGTTGTTGTTTATTTCAGTTTCTTCTCTAAAATGGCCGTTTCTGACGTTTCTTAGAATTGTTGCGTCATCAATTCGAATTTTAAAAATTTACGAATTTCCGAATCCTTCAGCCTTTACGATTTGTCCAATCGTTCGAATAACGCTCTTATTCCTTCAAAACCGCCAATTCGGAAGGTTCGCTACTAAAAACTCGAAATTGCTGCGTCTGCATTTTGGTCCATTCTGATCGAATGTCACAACGTTGCTACCTTTTTCAGTGAACGAATGGCTTTTACTTCTTCTCTGTCTGTTGGTGGTCAAAGAACAACTGGTCAAACAGTGCGAACTCAAAATGTTCTGGCAGCGCAGTCTATTGCTAATATAGTGAAGACGTCTTTAGGTCCAGTGGGGCTCGACAAAATGTTGGTAGATGATGTTGGAGATGTAACAATCACCAATGATGGCGCTACCATTCTGAAACTGCTTGATGTTGAACACCCTGCTGCCAAAGTAATTTTTAGATTTCATTGAATTAGCGTACTGTTTTGCTTGAGGCTAGGTCTTTTTAACAGACCACAATGCAATGGTTCAATTAAGGTAAGTTTAAATTGACGGAAGATTCGAAAAGAAAAGCAGTTTCAACAAAATTAGCTTCGCTGAGAAACGGAGAAGTAGCAGTATTTAGACAACCGAGGTTCAGACTCGTCATTAAGCAGACACTGTCGCGTCTGGTAAAAGGTCCATGTTATAACTTTTTTGGTTAAAGATTAGTCCCCATGACTAATCAAAATCATGTCGTTAATAAAAACTAACTGCGCTTGACCGACATCTTTTGTGGAAAGAAAATCCTGTCTCTTTATTAATCCGCATCTCTTTATTAATGATTGAGACAAACAAGGGACCTGCTGTTTTTAAAATCAAATATTGCAATCTTCGTTAGGCTAAAATTAACTTTTTTAGACCGATAAGAAAAGTTGAATTTTAGGTTTTGGTGGAATTGGCCCAGCTGCAAGATGAAGAAGTAGGAGATGGAACCACGTCAGTGGTCATAATTGCAGCAGAGTTGCTGAAAAATGCCGATGAGTTAGTGAAACAAAAGATTCATCCCACGTCCATAATTAGTGGCTATCGCCTGGCATGCAAGGAAGCTGTGAAGTTTATCAAAGACCAACTCTCCGTGCCTTTCGACGATCTGGGCTCAGAATCGCTAGTCAATGTGGCCAAGACTTCGATCTCATCGAAGCTTATCGGAGGCGTTGATGGCGACTTCTTTGCCAATTTAGCTGTGGATGCAGCTAGAGCTGTCCAGTATAATGGACCAGATGGGTCCGCGAAGGTTCCCGTGAGATCTGTAAACATTCTGAAGGCACATGGTAAAAGTACCAAGGAATCAATGCTTATCAAGGGTTATGCACTGAATTGTACAGTGGCATCGCAGCTGATGCCGAAGCGAATTCAAAACGCGAAGATTGCCTGCTTGGATTTCAGTCTACAGAAGACGAAGATGAAGCTGGGTGTGCATATAATTTCAGAAAACGCCGATCAGCTTGAGAAAATCAGGGAGCGAGAAGCAGATATAACCAAGGAGAGAATTGCTAAAGTAATGGCAACGGGAGCAAATGTGGTGCTCACCACTGGTGGTATAGATGATATGTGCTTGAAGTTTTTCGTCGAGAAGAATGCAATGGCTGTTAGGCGATGCAAGAAAGGTGACTTGAAAAGAATAGCAAAAGCCACTGGAGCTACATTGATGAGCAGTCTTGCAAATCTGGAAGGCGAAGAGAGCTACGATGCCTCAGCTCTCGGGTATGCCGAGGAAGTTGTCCAGGACAGAATATGCGACGATGAACTGATTTTCATCAAGAATCCCAAGGCGAGAACCGCGGCTTCTGTTGTCGTCCGTGGCGCCAATGATTTCATGTGTGATGAAGTCGAACGATCGCTGCACGATGCCTTGTGCGCTGTCAAAAGAGTTATTGAGAGCAAGAATCTCGTAGCTGGAGGTGGTTCTGTAGAGAGCGCGTTGTCAATCTACCTTGAGAACTACGCGACGACCATGGCCTCCAGAGAACAGCTTGCAGTCGCTGAGTTTGCGCGATCGCTTCTGATCATCCCAAAAATGCTGTCGGTGAATGCTGCACAAGATTCTGCCGATTTGGTGTCTAAACTGAGAGCCTTCCACCATGCGTCACAAACGTCACCAGACAAAGTAGGCTACAAGTTCGTAGGTTTGGACTTGGTTCAAGGGAAGTGTAGAGACAACAAAAAAGCAGGCGTGGTTGAGCCTGCTGTGAGCAAAATTAAGTCGCTGAAGTTCGCAACTGAAGCAGCTATCACCATTCTGCGAATTGACGATTTGATCAAGCTGGAACCAGAGCCGAAAGAGCCTCCTCGTCGTCACTAAAGGGAAGCTGAAATTTCAGTGGTCAACTCATTTTCATGTGGAAAATGCTGTAAAATGAAGTTTCTGCATGTTGATTGATTGATTGGCAATGTGAAAAATCGTTGGTTGGTTAAGATGTTGAATAATGTGTAAAAAGCTAATTCAAATATGAACATTGGACAGCTTTTCATGGCTCAGTTTTAGCACTGAAAAAACTGTAGGTCTAAGGAAGGTTAGGTAATTGAACAAACTTTCAAGGTTCTTTGAAAAGGGACTAAATGCTTTCAGAGTAGTTAGATATAACTCATGGATACAATTGCTGCGATGTCGGACTCTTTGCCTGTTCAGAACGGAGCCATGTTGTCACCCAAAAAAGACTCGTTTGCTAATTTCTACTACAAAACTGACGGAAAACTTGTCGTTAGTCTGCAAACTGACAGTATTGAAAATGGAAATGGGGATAAGTTGCAGGAGCAGATCACTTTGCACGTGGAGGTTTGCACCAAGGGAAACGTTATTGTCAATCACGGCCAGGAGCTGAAAGACAGAGTGCACAAACATCTGTCGATGTTGGCTTATGATGATTATATTTATATTTTGACCAAGCTTGCGAAAGGTAAGTCCGCATTATTTGTGTCATACGGTAAAGTATGAGTACAGTATATTCTATAATCCGAACGGATTGCTAAATCGAATAGAGAATGAACTCATGTGTACGCAAAAGTAACTGAATGTTAATTGTTAATTCTTTCGTCTGACAGCCATCGCTCAAACTGTCCTACAAAATGTATTAAAAAAAACTTGATTGGTTTTGCCAATCTGGCCGGATGACATTTTCCTTTTTCACATAGAGTTTCATAGTCCCCTTTGGACTAAAGTTTCGGAGTCCCCGTGGGACTAATAGTTTCAAAGTTTTTCTTCCTCTGGAAATTTTTCTTGATTTCCTTTATCTTTTGTTTCTATTATCGGTCTCTTGTTTTTCTCCTGATTTTTTTTTCGTGTTCTTCAGTCGTGTTTGCTTCGTATTTTTCGGTTTCGTCGTTTTGCTGTTTTGTTGAGCGTCGTCTTCCTGATTCTTTTCATGTTCATCGGTCGTGTTTGCTTTCTTTTTCGTTTCGTCGCTTTTCGTCTTGCTCAATTCGCTGTTTTGTTCGTATTTATTTCCAGTATCAATCACTAATAGAGCGTCTCGATTTGGGCTAGAAATTGGTGATATCACATCGATCACATGAAACTTTCTTGTCTGTTTCGGTACACATGCTTGAAACTGGTGATTTCATGTTAAATTCAGTTTCGTGGATGAGAATCATGATATTCGCATTGTTACCCTCTGATTTTCTTTCCGTGCATGCAACAGTAATTTTTTTTCGTTTACTTGTTTTAACACCTGCGAATCTATTGTATTAGTACGAACCTTCTTTTTTTCCAACCTAAGTCGGAAATATTGGTGCCACTTTTGGGGCACCTTTACTTTTTGATAGCATGTGATGTGACATTCGAATAGAAATAAATTACCGCAGTTGATGCATTTTCAATTCATCAAATGAACCGAAAAAAAGCTATTGGTTTCAGACAACATCACCATCACAATAATAAACGTCGATTTCAGAAATTTTCCAACTCAATATATCTTGCATTTTTTGAAATGCATAATTTATACAATGTGGCTTTATGCTTTGCAATTTGTTATTCAAAGTTACTGTAGATGCCTTCAGTTTGCTATATTCCAAATTATTATTTGTGCCAATTTTGCTGAATCGTTGGCAATTTATTAACATATGTAGTGCTTTATTCGTGACTAGTGTTTGTCGGTTATTCAGCTTGCGTGGCTGAGGGGATAGTGGGTTAGACTCAAAATCCTTGATCTCAGTAGATTCGAATCTTACACCTAGCATAAGTCGAGGCTTATTTCTATTTTTTCTTATTTAACTTGATAGAGCTGCTTTTTAGTCGTGTTCTCGCGCGTGTTTTTGAAGCGCAGCTTCGCCTCTGTGTTTTGTTGTCTCTATTGCATTGATTGGGACCGGGTCTCCGAGTGCTCCCTCAAGGCCAGATTGTCTGTTTCGCAGTGATTTTCGTGTTGCCCCTTTCGAGGTTTTTGTGGCGGTGTCCGTCCGTTTTGGGGACATTGCTGATTTTTCTGACATAGACGACCGGTCGTCACTCGACGAAACTTAAGGTTCTGATTCAGATTTGATGTTGGGCATTTTTTGAGAGCATGCGGGGTCGGACTTGCATGCCCCTCGCTGGTGTCTTTCGGGCAGTTTTCCCCCCAGTCCTTTACCTTGGCCTGGGAAAAGGGCTATCTTGGCCTATCTCTTATTTGAGCTTTCTTAATGTTCGGTCTGCTTTTTGCGTGTCAGTTTCTTCGGGAATCCGGCTTTTTCGTCCTCCTGGAACATAGCGTGTTGGGGGTGCGTTGGTTGCTTGATGTCTTAAAATTACAAGCATGGTTCCGTTCTTCTGGCGGATTTATATGCTACATAGTCACTTAACCGTGAAAGCCTCCTGGGGTCCTTAACCATGGTCCGTAGGTCTTTGGATTTGGAACATTTGCGAATCCACATTTTCTCAATAGTCAAGGTTGTTTACCTAATGGTGGTTGTACCCAAGCTGTGTGAGGAGTGCATGTTAGTATTTTCCCATCTGTTATCTAATATATATAAATACGTTATAGGTTTTGCCAATCCGGCTGGATTTCAATTGGAATGCTGAGAAGTGCCTTCTTTGTCCGGTCAACCTTTTTGCTTAAAATTTCATAAAATGACTAAAAATAACCAGCTGTTACACTTTAAATTATATTCTTTAGGTGGCAATTCGTGTTATTTACAATCACTTGAAAAGTTTCTTTTTTGTAATTCGAGTAAGTTCGATGGTGCTATGATTTCACACTGTTCTTTGCAAATTCGATGGCAATGATTGCACGCTGTTTGATTGCAGGACTGAGCACTGACGTCCCTTTTGACGACGACGAATACCTCTCAGCAACTGTCGACTTCATCAAAGTGCAGGATGAATCAGCAACTAACAAAATTTCACATCACAACAACAACAACCACTCAGAAGCTTCGATTCGAACTATAGCCGGGATCACAGCGGGTGTTTTGGAGATCAGTTTGCATATGTTTTCACTGTCGCTAGACACACCTGGAGTTGAAGAGTTAAGTATAGGTGGAGATGAGCAATCAGCATCGGCGGCACAGATCTGGATGTTGCCGCATGTGCAGTTCAAGACCCTGTGGGATTCGCTTTTCTATGAGGATGATCTGAAATGGAGACTGGTTAGATATGTGGAGACGATGTTGTTGCTGTCTGACCTGAATATTGACCAGAATATTGTAACTTATAACCGGATTGTGCTGCTACATGGTCCTCCAGGTTGGAACTTCCTAGCTCTGGGGTTTTGATTTTTGATTAGATGCTTATATTGTTTTTCGGCGAAGCTGGTTTAATTGTGAATGTAGTGTTAAAAACGTCAAACGAAAAACTGAACGGAATTAAGTTACCAGAAACGGAATGCAAAGTTCAATTTTTCGTGAAAAAACTAAGCAGTACCATTAATAGCTCATAAAAATTTATGAAAAAGTTCAGAAAAATTAGGACGATAAATCATTGCTGTTTTGCTCTGAATTTGACCTTTTTGTAGCTATTTCCCTCAGATAAACTAAACGGAAGTTTCCTCGTTTAACAGGAACTGGCAAAACTAGTCTGTGTCATGCTCTGGCACAGCGTCTCTCTGTGCGATTGGATGCGAGGTACAGATATTGTCAGCTAGTGGAAATCAACTCCCACAGTCTCTTCTCAAGATGGTTCTCTGAGAGTGGTAAACTAGTCATGGCCATGTTTGACAAGATCAGAGAGCTGTATTCGGACCCGGAGGCACTGGTGTTTATACTCATTGATGAAGTGGAGAGTCTAGCGGCGTCCAGAAAAACTCAAGGTCGGAAAACGTCTCGTAAATTATTACTTTTTGGCTGAAACACTATCAGTAGTATAATCCAAGAATATTTACGCTTGCGATAAACAAAGCGTGGCACTTTTTCTTTTGCCCCCATTTGCAATTTTTTAAAAGTAATTTTTTGTTCATATTGGCCGATTGTTGCAAAAGTTGGCATGCGTAGTAATTAGGCATAGACAAAATTATTTGGTCTTCATACCTAATCTTATAGAACCCCTCGTTCCACCATAAAATATGAGGTGAAGTGTACGGGGGAAAATGCCACAAGCGTCATCAAATCGGAATATAGTTTTTTTTCGGGTTAACAGTTTGTTTAGCATAAGTACTTGAATCATTTGATAGGTTAGCTTATAATGAATTCATATTTCTCATCTTTTTTGGCGCATTTGGTTTAAAGGTAACAATTGAACGTGTTTTTGATTGATTCCTGTAAATGGTAAATTTATTCAATTTAATTGTTTTGTAAAAGTTCAATTTGGCCTCAAATGTTTCGATTTATGTTTTATCGGCTCCGTGATCTGAAATTTCGTCATTTGAAGAAAAAATAGATTTTTGTGTGTTTTCTGAGGAAGGAGCGTACAAAATAAGAATTTCAGAACTTCCAAATATTTTTGTAGTTGAGTATTTCGACTCAGTGGCATTCTTTGATTTTCTGCCTGCTAGCTTGCAATGCTATATTTGTGTGATATCGCAATTGCTGCGAAGCTTTGCTTCGCCTCTGTATGTAATGCTGCTATTACAGCCCTATTTTAGCAAAAAAAAATGTTTTCTTCGCTGCCTGATTTGAAGATATCAGCCAAGTGTCGCTCGCTTTTTACACCAAGCAAAGCTTGTGTTATAGTATGAACTCACTTTTTTTCCAACCTAAGTCGCAAATATTGTTGCGACAGAATGTGTTCATTTTGAAGTGTTCGTGTTCTATTAAGTACAGCCAATGCTAAGGATAAAAACACACTATTATATTAAAAATAGAACTCTAGCTTCAAGGTATCATTGATCTGTAGCGTAGAGGTAGGGAAGGAGACCAGCAACAAGATAAGAGCGTTCGAACCTGGACAGGGTCGGATGTTTATAATGAACTTCTTCGTATACTAGTTAAAATGCGCCCACTCTATAAATTGAGGCATGTTAGTTGGTAAATTTCTTTTTTTTTTTCAAATTGACTGGTACTAATAATGCGTCATAATTGGCTAGCGTCACTTAGCAGTTATGTAGACTCATAATTGGCGTGCGTCACTGAAGAAATTTTGTAAACTCAAAGTTTTACTCATTCAGTTTTTCCCAGTAGCGTTATCGGTCAAGTTCTTGGTTGTGTATGCGGATTGCAACTTCGCCTCTGTGTATATTTTGATTTTTTGTCATTTGTGCATTGGTTTGAAATAAATAATGGTTTTGTTGATACAGGAAGCGAGCCATCTGACGCAATACGTGTGGTTAATGCTATGCTAACCCAGCTGGACCAGCTGAAAACACAACCTAACGTGGTTGTCCTCACAACCAGCAATCTCTCAGGCAGAGTCGATCTGGCATTCGTAGACAGGGCAGATATCAAGCAACACGTGGGACACCCATCTTCATATGCAATATACAAGATTATGAGCTCATGCATTACCGAGTTGATGCAGGTTAAACTCATAGCACCGCAACGTAAGTAATGCGACGAGCAGATTCAACTGAACACTGATCAGGTTCTCTTTTATGCGCATGAAGGCTGCTTTTGAAGAGTCATGAACGTAGAGAATTTTCTTATATAGGTCTTGGTGATTTTTTAATTTTTTTTTCAGTAAAAGGTCTTGTATTTGTTCACTTTGCGGTATGACTTTTGATTTTTGTTTACGTTAGTTCAATTTTTTGGTTAAAAGGAAGGCAAACTCCACTATCGAACAGCGAAAGTATTAAATTCACGAAAGATGTAATCGACTTCTAAATTTTGAAAGTGGATTTTAATTATCAGTTTCAATTCGAAAATCGATTCTAATTATCAATAATGAAGCCCGTCATGTCTTATAGACACTTGGGTACATAATATATATACATACATACCACCGGTTTTTTGAAACTGCCTTTTTCATAGTAAAACAAAGAAAGCCGGTCGGTTGTTGTGCAAATAGAACAGATTGTTTTGACCACGCTTATTTATTTCAGAACGAAAAGGCACTTAGCATAGTTGTTGAGCGTTAACTTCGAGATCGTGTAATCTATGCCTTGTCATGGCAATGATATTGTGTGAGGACGAGCTCTCACTTGACCTATAGCTTCAGGTCTACCACATCCTGACGGATTACGTCTGCAATAGTTGTACCACGCGAAAATTCTAGATGCAAAAAACGACTCTGTAGCAAAAAAAGCGTCGCTCAAAAAAATAGATGCCTGGAATAGGGGGAACGAACTGTGCTTAGACAAGCTGGATAGACTTTCATAGATCCTCTGCGAATCGCAGAAAATAAAAAACATATGAAACTGAAAATTGAAAATGTATCGAAAAAGATTTTTGAGTTTTTATTTGCTTTTTAGTTAGCGAAAAGGCGCTAAATTAGGTAATAATTGCTAAAATTATAAAAACGTCACAATAACTAGATTTCGGAAGATCAATCTGAAGTTTCCAGTCTGAAAAGTTAGTCTCAAAAACAAAATTTCAGACCCGTTGCTCTCGACTCTGAAACAATTTTGTTGACAATTTTTGGAATGAATCATGGCCAAACGGGGCATTGATTTGATGCTGCAGTTGACATCCTTCACGTTTTCTTTAAGGTGGTCAAAATGTTAAAAAAAAACAGACCCGACGGTTGCTGTAACTGCTAACTGTGCTGTGTAAAAGTAACTGGTTTCTGTGCATGTAGCACATAATTTTCGACAGCCATTATCAGGCAAAAAATGAATTTTTAAGAAATGTTGATGATAAGTTTTTTGCTCGAAGTTTTTTGCTTCACTTGGACTTGTAAGTTTTCCGTAATTAACTTTTGTTAAAAATCTGCAAGAAAGTGGAATTGCTCAACAGTTTATTTGACCTAATTTTTTTCAATAATTTTCATTTTTCGGCTTTTCATGTTTTTTGTGTTCTATCATAAAAGGTGGGAAGCTCCGCTTCGGCTCTGTGCACATAATTTGGCTTTATTCTTTGCGATTTGTTAAATGCAAAGTTCGTGGGGATGCCTTCAGTTTGTCATTTTCCAAATTATTACTTGCAAAATTGTGTCTATTTGTATTTGGTGCCACTTTTGCTAAATGGGATTAGAAATTTATTGGCATATGTAGCTGCTTTATTTGTGACTTGTGTTTGCTGGTGGTTAAGCGTGCTTGGCTGAGTGGATAGAGCGTCAGATTCAAAATCTGATTGCAGTAGGTCGGAGATCGAATCCTAGACCTAGCCGAATTTTCGCTAATTCGAGGCTTATTTCTATTTTTTCTTATTGCACTTTGTAGAGCTACTTTTTGTCGTGTTCTCTATAGTTGTTTTGAAGCGAAGCTTTGCCTCTGTGTTTAAGTTTGCTGGGGTTGGAGTCCTGGTCGGACCTTGTTTCGGTTTGCATGAATTTTAAAAGTTTTTTCCAGGAAAAAATGTATTGTCGGTTTTTCGTTTCACTGCTTATGTTTTGTCGGATAATTTACCACTTGGAATTTTCTTGTGCGATCAGCTGTTTTTATTGTAGATGCAAGTGTTTTGAAGTATTCATTTAAGTTATTCAATGAATAGCCCTGACCTTGTATGCTTTCTCTTTTTTTTGCGCTTAAAAGCTTTGTTTGGCTTTATTGTTTTCGTCTTCGGCTTAAATACCTTGATTTATGTCCTTTCAAGGTCAAAAAATGGTTGATTGTTTAAAAAAAAAAACAGGTAGTTTATGTTGAAAAAGTTCATATTTGCAAAAATTCAAACGTAATTGCTCATAGTTTTTTAACAACTTCTTATGATTTTTTGTTTTCGGCTCAATTGTTTTTTTTTCGTCTCATTTTCTACTCGCTAGCTTGCATTGCTGTGTTTGAGTTGTAACACAAGCGATGCGAAATTTCGCTTCGCCTCTGTGTTCAACATGAAATTAATTTTTTTTTCTGGGATAACTTGAATTGTCAGACTATCGTTTGTCTGCATACTTTATGTCGGCTTAAGTTCCAAAGCGTTGAGTATTCTTCGACTCTTAATGAAATTCATTATAATGAAAGCCATTCTGTAATTTGTTAATTTACCAGAACCGTTTTTGAATTAGCTCCGTTTTTTGTCTTTTTGCATTATGCCTCGATTACCTTATATTTCGTCGAGACAATCTTGTGAAGTTCATGTAGATGAATGTTGTCATGACTTTTTTTCAACTAACATATTTTTTCTGTTTGTGGTTTATGTCTCCTTCTATTCGGTAGCTTGCAAAGCAATGCTTTGTATTATTGTTGAAGCTCAACTTGTATTGCGATTTGACTTTGGATTTTTTTGAGTTTAATTCAAAGTAATTTGCTAAATGTATGGTAAATTACGCTCTCTAATTACCGAAATGCAAAGGGCGCAAAAAAATCTTAAATAACTTAAATAGTTTTTTTAACGCAAAGTGAAACAATTTTCCTTCAAAAAATCAATCATTTTTTGGTTTCGGTGAGTTTATTGACAGTTTATTGATTGTCTGTACATTTTTTCAATTTTTTCAAAATGAGATGATAAATTTACAGATAATAGTATGCATTTAAACATATTTATCAACCGTTCAAATGTGTTTGAGTGAAATGTCGCTCGTCGTTGAAATTACGAGATTTAATGCGCTTTCAGACTCTTCAGTTAAATTTAGTCGGAATGGCAAAAAAAAATGCAGACGAGTTTTTCATCGAGGACGAGAAAAGTTTAGAAAAGGTTTCTTTTTAGAATCCGAATCAAGGCTGAAAGGACTTTTCATATGATAGCTTACAAGAAATCAATTGAGATTTCTGTAAGGTAATGAAAATTGGCTAGAAAACGATTTGATCTACGCCATAGTTCCTTGCCACTTCGAGAGTCGGCGGAACAAATATTCTTACAGATCTTTTCAGTTATTGAGGTGGATTGTTTTTTGTAGATGACCTTTGCGAACTACCAGTATCCGAACGTGAGTTGGAGTCTGACGCCTTGAGTAAACGACTTTTGCAGCTATGCAGTCCTGTTGATATTACTTGCAACGAGCAAACTAAATCGCGAAAAGCAGAATTAAAGACTTTGCATGGTTTGAGTGGGAGAACGCTGAGAAAACTACCTTTTCTGACCATAGCAGAGCATGCTAACAGAACGGATGTGAATAGGTCAATGACCTTAAATGAGTTCCTAGATGCTTTGGAAAGAACTTTGTTTGATTACAGAAATCAGATGGCGTGGATGGACGAGTGAAATGACCGAATTGTTTGATTCTAGTTTGAATTCTGTGTTTAATTTTGATTGGTTTTGTTTTCGTTAATTCAGTTTTCTGACTTTTTGTTGTCTGATCATTTGCATTTTTCCGAACTGTTTTCTGTCAACTAAATGGTCTTGGGCCTAAGACGTTGTAATTGAGCATGTTGCATAATAGTAAAAAGACATGTATCCGCAAATTTATAAGCTTTCTAAGTTTCATTTTTTTTTTATCATTTCAGAATTGAACATGGGCACTGATGTGGACTCTGAAGACGTTAATTTGTCACAGTCTTTCAAGGAGGCTCAAAAACTGATCACATTTGTGAACAAAACATCTTTATCATCAGCAGACAGTGAAGTCCAGAGTAAAGTGGGCTTAGCCATCAAACTTCTGGAACAGTGTACCAAAATGGTGAGCTCTCTTCAATTATTCAGTAAAAATGAATCAGTTGAAGAAATCACTACAAACTCATTGCAATATCTTTTACTACCTGTCATGTTGGGTGATATGACTAATCATCTAGCTGCGTCGTCGGCGGAAGCAAGAATTCCTATTGTGGAGAAAGTGGTAATATACTACGAGGATTTCCTACGTAGATGTCAAGAGTATGAACTGTACGAAGGCAAGATTCCCAGTCTGAATTCAGAAAAGGAGAATCAAGATCTTCAAGCTCAGTTGAACTCTCGCGAGGACCGAGTTAACAAATACAAGGCAATCAAAGAAACTGAGAATAAAATCAAAACACTAGAGTAGGTGTTAAATTGTTTTCATGAAGTTCAAGTACAACTTATTTTTGACCAATGGTTTACCAAAAGTACTCACACTATAAAAGTGATTGTTTTCTTTTTCACTATGAATTGAGTCAGAGTTTGCCTTTTAGACATCAGAGTGATGAAGCGCTATCAATGCACTTCTTATCTTTTATCGTAGAATTAAACAAAAATATCAAATTAATGATTTCAAACATGATGTTTCATTTTAATTGTTTAGGGATCTTGTGGAAAATGGTGCTATGTTGGACGATGAAACGAGCCGAGAACTCCATCTACTGAAGATCAAATTAGCAATTGACGAAACTTGTGGAAACCTCGCACATCTATTGCAAGAGAAAGACCTACTCGAGAAACGATTCAAGGACGGGCCATCTGGTAACACAGAACGAGTACAAAGCAATGGAAATACACAAGGAAGTAATCAGCAAAACAGTTTGACGAGGCCGGCTATTTTGATACTGACAAGAGACCAGGTGCAGAAGAGTGTGTTCGGAGCTGGGTATCCTTCAGTGCCGACGATGACTCTCGACGAGTGGTATGAGTCACAGTGCCAAAGCTGCTCGGACACCGGAATGCCCGAAAGGTAATTTGTGTTTAGAAAAACCTAATCTAGTTTTTTGTATCCAGTGATAAATCTTAATGACTGAATTGCTTTACAGAATTATTCGTTCTTCAAATTGGAATAATTTAGGACGCTAAAACCAAAAAAAAACACATTTGGTGGTCAATATTTTTTTAAACTGTAATGCCAAAGTTTCTAAAAAAAACTTACTTTTTGAGAATCTAGATATATTTTTGCAAATGTTTTTCAGGGGCCTCAAATCCAAAACTGGAGACCCTGAACTGGATTCTCGTTTGGAAATGCAAGAGAAGATAGAGCGAGAGGAGAGAGAGGAGGAGCGGGATGAGCCTGGTCTGCTTCAAAAAAGGAGAACCTTCGATGATTACAAAGACGACCACAGGAGGGGATCCGGAAACACTATTGGAAAAGGATAACTAGATTAGTCATCTTTGTGTTAAGTTAAATGAACGTGTTCAGTTGAATGCAATTTGTGTATCATTATACTGTAGTATTTAATTTGTACAATTTAAATGTGTTTTTATATAAAATTGACCCGACTTAAATCGATGGATATTTATTAAAACATGAATTTTGAATAGAAATTTTGAAATTCTGAGTTTTGAGGAGTTTTAAATTGCTTTTTATTATTTATATTGTTGGAGGATTTAAGGTGCCTTTTCAAGACTTTTTGATCTCTAACTCATCTGAAATTTCCGTAATTGATTGACATATGTTCTGTTTTTCAGATTAGATAGTTGAGTGCTAACTCGATTACTCGCTTCCTACTACCATTCACCTGAACTTCTGATTCTAATTGTACGTAATTTTGTTATTTGCTCTAACACTTAGGTTTCCTCTTTCCAGGTGCTAGCTAGCTCAAGTGCTTATTAGGAGTACTTAATTAGAGGCTTAATAAGTAACTGAGTTTATTCCTCCATGTCTTTGGCAGATGAGCTTCTCGCCGATTTGGAAGAGGCGGTCGGGGAAGAAGATGAAGAGCTTTCGGAAGCATACAGAAATGCAAACTTGCCAACGACGTCTATGGACCACGACGGACTCCATAATGGATCTGTGAAACAAGAACCTCATGACTCAAAACATTCAATTCAGTCACAATTATGTAATTCCGTCAAAGAAATAGCTAAACTATATGCTAGCGAGGACCTGAAAACACTTTTGGCTCTGATAGAACAGTATCAAAATGAAGCGAGCTCTTCCAAAAGTAAAATAGTTGGACCAGTAGAACAAGACCCGGAGTATAAATTGATTGTGAGTGCGAACAATACGGTACTTAAAATTGATAACGAAATTTACCTCGTACATAAGTTTATTCGCGATCGATACACAAAACGGTTCCCAGAACTGGAGTCGCTGGTTCCTTCAGCACTTGACTACATTAACACAGTTTTGATTTTAAAAAATGACCTTTCAAAAGCAAAATCCAGCGATGAGCTGGCGCAGATTTTAAATCCTGCAACAGTGATGGTAGTCAGTGTATCAGCAGCAACAACAACTGGAAAGTTTCTAGACGATGAAGTTTTGGCATCGATCATTGAGGCATGTGACATGGCCAAGGAACTACACGAAGTCAAAACAAAGATTCTTTCGTACGTCGAATCAAGAATGTCGCTAATTGCTCCGAATTTATCTAATATTGTGGGGGCGTCAATTGCAGCAAAGCTCATGGGTATTTCAGGAGGTTTGACAGGTCTTTCCAAAATGCCGGCCTGCAACGTGCAAGTCCTAGGAGCTCAGAAGGCGTCAATGTCAGGATTCTCTTCGATTGCAGTGAACCCGCACAGTGGTTTGGTGTTCCAGTGTGAAATTGTCCAGCAAACTGCTCCAGATTTGAAACGAAAGGCGGCCAAGTTTATAGCTGCGAAGGCATCTTTAGCGGCTAGAGTTGACAGCAACCATTCTTGTCCAAGCGGTTCCATAGGTATGCAATTTCGAGAAGAGATAATGGCAAAGTTGACCAAGTTGAACGAACCGCCGTCGGTTAAGCAGACGAAAGCGCTTCCGACCCCTATTGACGCACCGCGCAAGAGAAGAGGCGGTCGACGGTTTAGAAAGATGAAAGCTCGATTAGGCGAAACTGAATTGAGAAAGCAAGCGAACAGAATGAACTTTGGGGAAGTTGAAGACGATATGAACCAGGAAGACTTAGGGTTTACATTGGGAAATATTGGCAAATCGAGCCAAACTGGAGGTATCAGAATGGCTCAAGTTGACAAGAAAACTGAGGTCAAATTGTCGAAAAGCTTGCAACGTAAACTGGCAAAAGATCAAATTCACGGCGGCAGAACTACAGTAAGGCAACAGATTTCGGGAACGGCGTCTAGCGTGGCTTTTACACCGCTAGAGGGCCTGGAAATTAAAAACCCGAATGCTGCTAGTGAAAATTCGTCCAAAGATGACAAGTACTTTGCAGCTACTTCAGGATTTTTGAGTGTGAAACCAGTTATTCCGAAGTAAAGAAAAATTAACTCGTTATGAAACATTTTGACGATTAAATTACACATTCAGTAGCGTTTTGTTTGGATTCCTGAGTTTTTGTTGAATAAATTTTAAGTTCAAACTTTATTGTTCAATGAGAATATGGCAGGCTTATAACTGAAAAAAAAATATGCGAAAGTTACCTGAGCAAGCTGCTATGCACTGCGTTCTGAATTAAATATGCTCTCAGAAAATGTCCAATTTTTGAAATTTTCCTGTTTTCTGGAAAGTTTTTTTTTTCAAAACCTAGCCTGCTGATTCTGAGGTTGATAGTTTATTAAAACTAGCATGGTGCTTCAATTATCCCTGCGTTATCTGTGTTTACTGTTTTTTTTGTTGAAAAGCTGATATGGACTTCTAAAAAACTCCTTTTTAAATTTTTACGCTTTTAGAAATTTCGTCACTATTCTCGAAAAGTACTTGCTAAACCTGATATTAAAGGTTCAATCTAAAAAATCTGTGTGCGGTAATCTTCAGTCTAAAAATCAAGATGTGGAAAGCTGAGGCTATTCCCATAGAAGCACTAATGAGAAACACTAGGTTTTAGAGTTAAGCCCTTTTTTGAAATTTACGCATCTTCGTATCAGTACAATATATGATTAAATTATTAGAACAGGTAGATCCAGCCTTAACTGGGCCACTAGTCTGTTTCCAAGTGACTGTGGCGCAGATACGAAGACGTGAGACACCAATTCAACAGGTCGGATATTCAAATCCGGAACATTTGAAGTTTTTTTCGGTAGAATTTTTGCTGCATGACATAGGCATTTTGATAGAAACTGTAGCTGCTTTATTGGTAGGTAGTGTTAGTAAAATAAAGTAAGTGGCAGATATGAGAACTTGATACTCCTACTCTCAACAAAAAGATTTTTAAAAGTGCATTTTCAATCTTTTCCTTATGTTACTTTATATTGCCTGTTCAGAGCTCTTTTTGCATTGTACTTTTTTTTTTTTTTTTTTTTATTATTAGCCCCCGGCCTGCTCAGTGCAGGACCAACCGTGGGGGAGGGGGAGATGTCATCCATTTTGCCGCAGCCGGTCCCACCTTGAGGAGGCGGATGACACTGGGACCCCTCCAGCCGTGACCGAAGCGTGATTCGATTGCATTGTACTTGCGCAGCTTTGCCTTAATGAATCAGTTTGGGTGTGTTTTATCAAAAAAGTGAATCATAAAGTCTTCTAGAAATTCGAAGAATTTTAAGGTCATCTTTTGTTCTTGGAATTTCGAAAATTGAGGTTTTTTCTAAATATACACTAATATAGTGATTTTTTCGTTGTTTCAGGAAAAAATGAAAATTTGATCACACTCAACATTGAATTTTGGCAGTTTGGTGTTTTCTCTTTTTCTAAGTTCATTCAAATTCAATAAAGGGTAGACAACTTACGCTCTACAATTTGGAAAGCGGATAGGGCGCGAAAAAAGCTGAATAGCTTAGTGGTTCGAAATTGGATTTAAATTTAAATTCAAAACCTCTATGTGATGTACTTTTCCTTCGAATAAGAAAATTTCACAAAGACCGTGATTATTTTTTTTCTGTTTTTTTTTCAGGAAAAGTAAAAGTTCAAATTTACTGTTTCGCGGTTGACTTTTGGGCTCTTAGAGTTCCTCTTCTTTGATTTTTTTCGAAATTCAATATTTTAAAGTCTGTTTAAAATTACTTTTCATGTTATGAATTGCTACAAAACGTGTCAGAGTGAGCAGGTGAACAAATTTTCACACTATTTCTTAGATGCAAAATGCCGTGTGAACAATTTTTAAATATCCTAAATATGTAATTTTACGAGGGGGTTGGGAAACTGATAAGAGTTGGCTTTTGCTTTTTCTTAAGTTCAAATTTCTTTGTTAAACGGATGGCAAACTCCACTATCTTACGGTAAAAGAGTAAAAGCCACGAAAAACGTGATCGACTTCTAATTTCGGAAATGGAGTTGAATTATCAAATTTTCCAGCGATACAAAAACTTTACCTATTAGTGCAGTTTTCTCTAATTAGAATAGTTTTATCAAAATATGTCAATTTTTCTTGAAAATTGAAGAGCTTTAAGGCCATATATTTTTCTTTTTGCTATTAGAAAGTTGAGCTTTATTGAAGGCGCTACTTTTGGCGGCATTTTTGAATGGGTAGGCTACATTGAGCTACATTGATGCTTATTTATTCGAATAAAAAAACTATTCGTTTCAAATAAGCTTATAAAAATTAAAGTCTTATTTCAGAAATTTTCTAACTCGAATTACTTCGCGTAATTATGCAACTCTGATTTATTAGATACATAGTTAGTGCGGTTGCCTTTGATATATTCCAAATTCTTAAATGCAAGCTCTTGAAGTCACTTTTTTGCTCTTTTCCGCTTTCTCGCTCGTATTTGCGAAGCTGCAGCTTCGCCTTTGTGTTAACTTTATTTCACCTTTTATTTATTCAATTTTGAAGCTTAGTTTATTAACGTTCATTTAATTGCGTGAGGCTAGATTAAACAAAAAATCCTGACTAATTTTTGAAAAAAAAAATTGATTTCTGAGTTTCCTAGAAAAACATAGATCGCCCTGAAGCTCTTTGAATTTCTAGAATAATTTAAGGTTGACCCTTTTTTGATAAAGTTAATCCAATCTGAGAACTCTGGGTCAATAAGCAAAAATTTTTTTCACTGGCATATCTGATAGCTAAATTCCTATTTCGAAAATTGAAGCCGATCACATTTTTCGGCACCTTCACTCTTTTGCTGCTCGAAAGTAGAGGTTTCCTTCCTTTTAACAAAGGAAAGGAACTGAACTTAAAAAGAAAACGTCAAAACCGCGAAAAAAAATCATCGGGACCTATATAAGAGTCTGAACTACGTTCATCGCCTCTAAAAAATTAATTTTGTGTCAGAAATTGATTAATGTGCCCATCGAAGCTTGGATTTTAATAAGTATCAATGATTAAAATGAAATCAATTATGTAGGTGATGTTCATTTTAGCCAGGAATTTGTAGAAAATTTTTCATATTTGATTTTCCGTTGTTTTACTGTATTTATTTTACAAATCAATTCAATTTAATTTACTGAAAAGAAGGCAAGTTAAGCTCACTTCTTAAAGTACTAACGGTGCAAGAAGCATGGTAGTCTCTTAGTTTCGAAAAACGATTATATATCTATATTTTTTTTTGAGGTTTCCCAATAGAATAAAACAAGCATTTGAATCAGTTTTGACCCATTGGGCTAGTTTTATCGAGAATCTGTCAATCATGAATGATGCTTGAAAGGTCCCGATGGTTTTTATCTGATGCTTGAATTAAATCGCATTGTGTATTTTTCATTCTTAAGAAGCTTAGATCTATAAATTGCCGTACCACACATTTAAACGAGTACCCACTTAACCGCTACGAGCTTCATATGAGATAAATTGACTAAAAAAACTCGCTGAGAGAGCTATTTGCATAAGAAAAAAATATCTCACAAGTTCAAAAATACCAGACAGATTTTAATCATTCAGAATCATCTTTCAAACATTTACCAGTTACTGTTTTCTAAAAATGGTACTCCCTCCTTCTCTTTTCGTTCTCTCTCACACGCACCATTGCGGTGAATGATGCACTCCATGCACTCCTTTGATGCTCGGCGCAAAATACATCCAGGCGTTCTTATAAAGTGTTTGTTTCTGGCAAGCACGCAGACGTATCAGCCCTATTGCTTTATCTGTAGCCTATATGATTTTTATATGATTCTTTTATACTCTTTTATAAAAGTGACAGATTATTTGTGTTCGGGTGCTTTTTTCTCCGGACAAGTTTCAACATTTAAAATTCATTTTTTTTTTGCTTTTTTACGCTCTAACAATTTCGCAAGCGTGTCGGATGATTTAAGACAGCTTTGGGTATTTAATTATGGCAAAACTTCCATTTTTTAACGCGTACCATCGGTGGTGAAATCATCCGTTTGAGACATTAATTCAAACTGTCTAGAGGCTAGTTATTTGATCCAAACATTGTTTTAAATGATTAATTATATACTGTTTTTTTTTAATTGGCATTGCATGTCAGAAAAAAATTTTCTAAAAATCAGCAACTATAATAAAAGTTTTGTTTTTTTTTCCTCCAAAAGTTACTTCAGACACAGTAAACAGAAGATTTAAGGTTTTGCCTAGATACGAGCACTTTTTTGCTTTTGAAAGAGAATGTGAAAATTTGTTTTTTAATGATCAATTCTGTTTGGTGAAGTTTTCATTTGCGATCTTTCTGGCCTTCTGGTTTGAGGGAATACGCTATTTTACAGTTTCTTCCACTCTCTGAAAAAAGTCTATACAAAGTCTAACCGGACTGAACTTCTGAAGATTTGGTCCACAAGGACAGTCATTTGTCAATAACAATATATTTGCGTGTTTTTTAGCGAGTTAATTTTGAAAATAATATAAAAATTGCGTAATAAAAGAGTGCAAAGAAAAGAATATTCCACCACGTACATTCTATATAATTAAACTAGCTGTTTGGCGATTTGTGCCTAGATACCTCAATACAAAACCAAAATACATGATGAGATTTTTTTTCTAATTTAAGTTCACTGGTCGTAAATAAGAACAAAGATAGCCAGTGGCCGTGCAAGTAGCACAGCATGTTCCGACCATATTCTTAAAAATTACATTGAACGCTTTTTTAATGTTCTTTTTTTCAAGTTAGTGTTGTTTTTGCTAGCCATGTATGAACGATCTCACGAAAACCTAGAATTTAGGCTGTTGCTAGATGTGCAAAAATAGTTTTCTATTTGTTAATTCAATTTGATGAAAGTCATTTTAACAATAATAACAATAATTTGAAATTGACATACAAAAGCAGATTTTGGCAAATTTTACGAAAATTCTCATTTGTTTTCGTCAAAAATATGCAAAAACGTAAATAAGATCACTTATAAGCTAAATGTTACTAAATTAGTGTGCGTTTTTGTGCAATTTACCTGATTAATTTACATTATTTCAGTGTATGTAAAATTATTGTTTTCCTGCCAACGTGTTCAATGTTTTTGCAGATTATTTTATCAGCACAAAAAATATAATTGTATACAGAATTCAAGACTAAGCTCTAAGCCAGTAACTGAGATAGAACAGTGATACCACGGAGGCGTAGCAATTTGCATGCGTGCCGCATAGCATGCTAAATGAAATAATTACTCACTTTGATGCGGCACGCATAACTTTGAGTTTTAGTTGCAAATGCACCAAGAACCGTATGTGGTGGTGTCCCTCATGATAGAGAGGCGACTGTTGGAGAATTAGTTCACCAATTTGAGTTGATAATCAATATTTTGGCCATTAAAATGATTACTGACCGATTATAAAATAAACAGTTATTAAATTTTTCTAATTTTGCGAAATGGAAGTTGGGCAATAGCCAAAATTTGATACTTCAACAATATTGATTTTAAAAATAAAAAACGTTTTTATTTTTAAAATCAATATTGTTGAAGTATCAAATTTTGGCTATTGCCCAACTTTCATTTCGCAAAATTAGAAAAATTTAATAACTGTTTATTTTATAATCGGTCAGTAATCATTTTAATGGCCAAAATATTGATTACTCAACTCAAATTGGTGGACTAATTCTCCAGCAGTCGCTTCTCTCTCATGAGGGACGCCACCACATGCGGCTCTTGGTGCATTTGCAACTAAAACTCAAAGTTATGCGTGCCGCATCAAAGTGAGTAATTATTTCATTTAGCATGCTATGCGGCACGCATGCAAATTGCTAAGCAAAAAAGTATTGCAAGCTGCATGAACTGTAGAGGACAATTTTGCTGTGCTGTTTTAGTGCTGAATTAAATTATCCAGACGAAAGGCAAAAGATGTGAAACTTAATACGTGTTTTTCCTAATATGGGCTGACTTCAGGTGAAAAACTATGACAAGAAAATTTGCTCAGACTTTAAACATAATTAATATGTTGCAGTTTGTTTGAGGAATTCGGGCCCAATTTTTTCCCCCAAAACGGATCTTTTTTGACATATTTAGGCAATCAATTCTCAAAACTATCAAAACGTCTGCTGCTAAGTCGAATTTGGAGAAATCGAAAACGTATCCCGTTGAGAAAAGCGATTTGAAACTTATTTCGGAAGAAGAATTGGATATTAGGAAGTTCATAAATTTCGGCGGCTTGAATACTAGTGGTCTGATATTGGATGATACATTTGTGATTAAGCTTCTATAGATGTACTTGTTATTTTGTTTAAAAAATGTAAATAGAGTTTGTAGATTCAGAGTTCTCAGAAAAATAAAAAATAGGATCACGAGATTACCCCCGCCACATCCTAAGCGATACGCGTGCAAGCAAGTCTGTCCTCAATACAAAAGCAAGCTGATTAAGTTAATACAAAATGAATACAAAGAGCAAACAAGGATTTCTAGTTACTGTGCAAGGAGCACTCAATGGTCCGACCATAGTTAAAAAAAATTAATTTGTCGTTTTCTCTGCGTGATCTGAATAAAAAGCTAGAATTTAAGCATATTCGACAGTATTAAAATAAGCAAACTGGACAACAGTTTTTGACGAAATAAGACTAAAAAAAAGATAAAATTCATTAAAAAAAATTCACAAATTTGTTCAATTTTTTTGAACTTTTGAAGTTTTTCAGTCGAGTAACAATAAAATAAGGCATAAATAAAGTTTTGTAAACAGCCTTAAATAGCACAAATAAACCTGCTCGCTGGCTTTAGTTGCTCGAAATTAGACGAAAAATCAAAAATTTCAAACTGGTTTGTCTCGACACTGGGAAAAAGTAATCGAAAATTCTGCAAAGTGGTTCGAATCACGACTGAACGGGCTTTAATATAATTTATCACTCAAGCCAATCTGATGATTATAATTGGTACCTGATTTGCGTTAAAAAAATTGGGAAAAAAGCTTAAACACGAATACGAAGTTCATTCCCTTTTAAAATGGTCGGAACAATAAGCCCGGTTCGTTGCATCAAAAATTTGGATGGGGTCAACTGAAACATTCAGAAACATTAACATACTCTGAAATGATTTTCTGCAGTGATTTGTACCTTTTCAACACAGACACTTCCAACGAAACGGATGTGTTTATAGAATTATCCAGGTTAAAGTTCATTAGTTTAATTTCATCTTGTTTGTGATGTTACAGTTTCCACATCTGCATGTTATTCTCCATTTGTTTTCGTCAGAGAAGTGTCTAATAAAGAAGTGCCAGAAGATTTCCTGCAAGGTATCTTTATTAAGATCGTTGCCGAATTTAGGGTACGTTCATGATACGTAGTTGAAGAGAAGTTCCGTTCGTCGGAAAAAGTTGTCATCGGTTTTCATCAATCTTGATTTGTACAGCCTGTATTCTCCTCTTTGATTTTGTCTGGTGTTTCTTAGCGAATCAATTTTATCTAATGTTTCCTGTATATCATAATCACCGTTTCTCATTGACAATAGAAAAAAAGATCATGCATCTCGTTATATAGACTGAGTGGTAGTGTTCTTAGGGAAAGGAGACGGTTACGGTAATAATTGATGTTCGATAATAATATCCATTTTGTTGCAGTGTTGGACTTTTTCAAACACTTGGAGGTTTCTCTTGCTTGGCCATCACGCTTGAGATGCGTATGTTGCAATCGGTACTACGTATCCAGTATATGCGTTAAACTTAACCTTCCAGTGGCAGACCGAAGTAAGGTTTCTTTTAATTTTTAATTTGAAAGAGTGCATTTATTGCTTTTTTCGAACGTATCTGACAATTATCAGCCCAGTTTAGGTTTTGATGTACAATGCGCCACGGTCACGTTGGGGTTCAACTGGCTCCAGAGGACTGCCCATGAAATTGGCTTTTAGCGCTCCTTTTATGTTTACAATATGAGACTTCTTTGTATTTGGTGTCACCTTATTTTCAGAAATCCATTTTTCAATGTTTTCTGTTGCTTTGTTCATTTCACCTTGGCTTCGTATTATTGCTTTAAAATCATCTTCGTACCCGTAACAGGGTATTTTTTGCACCGTTTCAGGTAAATCATTGATGAAGAAGAGGAATAATAGTGGTCCAAGGATAGATCCTTGGGGTACTCTGATGGTGGCATTTTTTGGCGGTTGATTTGAACATATCGTTGTCTCTCAGATAAGTAGGAGTTGAGTATGCCTATGTCCTTGCTCTTCAAGTTTGAGCAGTAGTTTAACATGTGGGATGAAGGACGAGTGCAGTAACTTCGGTTGCCATAATAACTTCTGAACTTCTAATTTACTTTACGATACTTGAGCTACTGTAAAAACGCACTTTCAGGTTTTAATCCTGATTGTGTCTTTATGAGCTCTTTATTTTTCTTAGAAATATCTCATAATACATCAATATATTTTGCGCCACCGCTTAGGATGTCCATTCTCGTTTTTTAAAATGATATATGTTTAATAGAAGGCAACTATATTTATTTATGCTTGTATAAAGTGACTAATGGGTAGAAAATAGGAGAATCCCAATCCGTATAGTTTTGGAAGTTTTTGGAATATTTAAAGTTGGCGTTCAATAACTTTATAAATTTAATGATTTTTCTAGGTTGTCAGTTGTTTTTCTTTGTTCATGCCTGCTGCTAGAGTCCTACATGTGGTGAAGTCGTTGAAACTCAGAATATGTATGGTTGATCCTTCATAAATAGCTCTAAATGCAGTGAGAGCGGAGGCGGAGCAAAAAGCAGAATGGTCTAAGACCAGAATTGGTCCAAGAGCTGAAAAAAACAGAAAAAAATTAACTTTCATTGATTTATACGGGCTAATTGATAAAACAATTATTATAATCGTCAATAGTACCAAGAAAATGAATAAAATATGCATGAATTGAATAATTTTATCAAGTTTTTTAAATTAAATTTTAAAATAAAAATCTCGATTAGGTTATTCAAATTATGCATAAACTATTGCTTCTTCGGTAATATTGAAAATTCTGATACTTAATTTAACGATTAGATTATAAAATTTGATAATTTTCTGTTTTTCTGCTCTTGGACCCATTCTGCTCGTAGACCATTCTGTTTAATTGACTGGCCACCAGTGGCCGCGCTAGTAATGCAAACGCGATTGCCGTAACCATTTTAGTCTTCGTCCTCGTATACATCCGTGAAGCGTGGAAGAAAAAGGGGCCTAAATGAATATTACTATCACATCACAGCATATCGAAGAAGAATCGGTTAAGTTGAGCTTACCGCAAAATCATAAGTTTGCGTTTCACGTCAGAGTCAAGTGACTTCTCTGAAATACTTACTTGCTCATTAGGTTCTGAAGCGCTTGTCGAAGTACATAGTTTGAAAATGAATATATAGTGAAGAAAAAAGTGCCGCAACCAAAGTTTTTATTTAGTTTTTCTTAAAAAAAAACAAGTTTGAACACAATGGAAACTGTTTGATTGAATTTTATCAGCAGATATTATTACTCTTAAGCCATAGAAATCTAGCTTCAAAGATGAAAAATTCAGAATTTTTAAACCTTGCCATACTGAAAGTAAATAGATTTTTTATTGAGTTTTCAAATTTTAGAAAAGTTTGTGATATCAAGAAATTTAAAAAAATTAAAATGGACTTTCAAATCAAGGCCTTGAAACATATTTTTTTGGAATAAAAACGTTGTTCCGAGTTTCAGATAGACATTTTTGACTGGCAAAACTTTAAGTTGGGTGAATATCATCTGAGGACAAAACGAATGTAGTAGTACAACACTCAATTGAATTTAAAAGGTAATTTGTTTGATTTTTTCTAATGTTTATGTTCTATAGTTGCAATACTTCTTTCTCCAGTATAGCTGTTCATTGTCTGAAGTGAAGTGTTTATTGAAATAAACTTCGATTTAAGGCGTTTCAAATGTATTCCGCACGGCGTAGTGCGTCGTCAACTATACGAACGATAGCAGACGTGAGAGACAGTCTGATCAAGGCTTCCGGAATGACTGAAAAATGGAACATATCCGAACCCCATCGGAGAGTCAAGATCCTCAACCCCATTGCAGACAGATCTCTTCTGGAACCACAACCCGTCTCCAGCTCGAGATGCCAATTTATCATTCCAGTTAAGTCTGATCTGGAACTGAGGGAGAAGTATGTGAATGTTCATGGGAGAGTGAGGATAGGGAAACTGCTGGAAGATCTCGATTACGGGGCTGTCATTGCAGGTAAATCAATTTTTGAATTATTCTTTCCCAAATATCAATGAAATATAATCGGTTGATTAAATTGACATAATTTTAACTTTTATTCGATTTTTTTTCCGCAATTTATTCACATTATGTACGTAATATGAAGAATATGTTTTGATATAATTTTTTCTGGAAGATGGATATCTTCGTATTATTTGAAATTGAGCTCAGGAATCCAATCGAGGTTTAAGATGACCTTAAGATTTTTGAATATGTTTTTCGTTCTATAGGTGTTAATTTGACTGAACTAGTTGTTTTGATTAGGATACAAGCACAACAAACGTGAAAATGAAGACCAAACCTACTCGCTTTCATTGGTCACGGCTGCGGTCGATCAGATGATGATCCACGAGCCAGACACAATACCAGATGATGGAGACCTGCAACTACATGCTCACGTAAGCTGGGTTGGCAGCTCCTCAATAGAAGTCACCGAAAGCATCCTTCAAAACGACACCATCATCCTAAACGCCAAGTTTCTGATCGTAGCCAGACATTCCAGAGAGGATAGAGCGGTTCCAGTCAATGAATTAATATTAGAAACGGAAAGAGAGAGGGCTGATTTTGCGGCGGGCGAAGAAGCCAAGAAAATGCGAAAAGAATATGCGAAGTCTAGCCTTTTGAATGCGCCCCCAGACGTCGAAGAATCACACTTGATTCACGAGATCTTCAAAAGCAGTATAAACATGTCACAACGTACGTTCAAAAGGTTATCAAAGTCCGACTCAGATATATGGATGTCAGATTCGGATGCTCACTTAAAGTCTTCCATTCTGTGTTTTCCTGAGCAAAGGAATCTGTATAATAAAATATTCGGTGGTTACGTGATGCGAAAGGCGTTAGAACATAGTAAAAGCAACGCACTAATTTTCAGTAAATGTGATGTACATCCCGTGTTTATTGACGATATTTCGTTCAGAAGACCAGTTTCTATCGGCGATCTGTTCTTCTTGTCTTCTCAAGTGAGTTTATTTTTTTTCATCTTGCGATAAGCAAGAGTATTGCTACCGGGTACTGACTTTTTTCCCGTAAAGAATTTGTTTCACAGAATAGAAGTGATTAATTTACATATGCATCTTTGTGTTTTGCCTATATAGGGCTAGAGCTTGCTTTGTGAGTGGTAGATGCAAGATTTTTCTGTATGATTTTTACTGTTAAATTTTTCGACCTATTTACCTTCCTCTCGGCTTCTTTACCTTTAATGTCGGCTTTAGTTCTGTCGGAGATTTTTCTTTCCATTTATATTTTCTTAGGATAGTTTCCTCGATACTTCTGTCCTGATCATATTCTTTTTGGCGAAGGTAATTGAAGTCATGAGTTTATTCGCTTTTTTCTTGAATTTTCGATCAGTTCTTTCACCAATTGATTTTTAGTTTGCTTCAAGTGCTTTTTACCTTTGTAACTTCTATAAGCAAGAGACTCGGTTTTTGCTTAAGTGCTATCAGATCACAAATCTTTTAAATTTTTTTATCCATGTTTTGCTCGTAATTTTCAGAATTTTAAAATTTAAATACAATTTATTTTCATTTATTTTCGGTATTTGTTTATAGCACTCCTAATGTTTTCCTCTCGTTCTGAATAGTTTTTTAAGAGTAATGAACGTTGTTAGCACTCTTATATAGGTTTTGCTGATTTTTTTTTTTGTTTTTTTTTTTTCCGGAAAGTCTTAAAATTTGTTCACGATCAATTTTGATTTTTTCGCGTTTTGACTTGTGATTTCTTTTCAAGTTCAGTGCATTTCTATTATTAAAAGGAAGGCAAACTCCACTATCGAACAGCAAAATTGTAAAGGTCACGAAAAACGTGATCGACTTCTAATTTCGAAAATCGAAATTAATTATCAGATTTCCCAGCTTAATAAAAGTTTTGACTATTGATCCAGTTTTCTCATATTGGGTTAATTGAAACAAAAAAGTGTCCATGATACATTATTCTACAAATTTAAAGAGCTTTAAGGCCATCTATTTTTTTCTTCGAAATTCAAAAGTTGAAGTTTTTTGGAAAAAAATACAAGTAAGTTGTTTTTTTCAGTTTTTTTTGCGTTCATTACTTTTTTCCAATCTTCGATTGGCTATGTTTTGATTATCAATTCAATTGCAAGCAGGTTAATGTAATTTAGCTGTTTTTCGTTTATACTCACAAAAATATTTTCATAGCGAAACAAATAAAATAGACGACATTTTTTTCGGCAGCGTTTTGATGATTTTTTCCGCTTAGTTTGTTTGGACTTAGTTCAGAGCTGAATTTGTAGTTGAATTTTTAAAAACTTTTGTCGATAACTTCTGTCCCAAGTCTGGGTTTTAGGGTTCAATCAAAAGAACTTGTCACGGGGATTTTCCCTGCAGAAGCTGTTAGGCCCTTATGTTTGTAGAAAAAGGTTGAGGCCTCAGAAAATGTCCAAATTTTGACCGTTTTGTAGAATTTTTCCAAGTTTTTTTCGAAAGATAACCCTGCTACATCTGAGTTTTGATTTCAACCAAAAGAACAGCTCGCGAGAATTTTTCATGCATTGGCGGCTAAGCCATTTTTGTACAATTTTTGTTATCGCTTTGGGAAAATTACATTTTTGATCATTTTACCGTTTTTGCGAAACTTTACTACCCTGTCACATCTGAGGTTAAGGCTTCAAGTGAAATAATAGGTTATGGGAATCTTCCTTGCATAACGAGCTGCGCCCTTGGTTTTAATAGGCAAAGCGCTATGACATCAGAAAATGTCCAAATTCTGAAATTTTGGCCGTTTCTTGGAAAGTTTTTCCTTTTTCCAGAAACTAAACTCAAAAATTGGTTATCAAGGGTTTCATCATAAAAAACGATGTTAAAAATCTACATGCATCAACGGCAATAACCTAATTTTTGTTAAAAATAGCTTTTGCTAAGTAAAATTGTTTAGTTTGAAGTTTTGATCGCTTTGGAAACTATTGACTTTTCTCGAGAACTACCCTCCAAATCTGAGAGTCAGAGTTCTAGCGAAAGAATGCATGGAATATTCTCTGCATAGCGATAGGCCCTAATTTTTGTCGAAAAGCAACATTGGATGAGCTCTTACGTTAGTTTTGACTTACGCCATCCTTTCTTTTAGTTATCTTATCTGTATCTGGAAAGTTGTGAGGTCTTTTACAAACTATCCATTATCATTTCATCAAATTTTGTCGCACTCCCATTATCACTCATTACACTTTACCTTCATATCATCAGAAGTTATTCAGTACACGGAACGGGGATTGTTAAGCTCTTCAGTAGATATAGATATCATAGGGGGTAGTTGTAAAGTGGATCTGAAAAATTCGAGAGAGACAGGAAATAATTTTTTTTACAATCCGAAGACAAAGAGTCCTGGATTCTGCAACCAACTATGGTTTTATCATTTTTCAGCTGAAACGAGAACGCTTTAATACAGCTAAATAAAAAAACTTTTCGGCGCCACAGGTTTCGACCCAAAAATTGCCGCATTTGTTGCCGCTCGGTGAATAGTTTCCAATTGTTTTTAAGGCTTTTTATGAACTTAATCCGTTACAACCATGAAGTTTTTGTAGCTGGTGTTATACTTTCAAGTAATTTTTCAACTTAATTTTTCAGAAATGTTTTTTGACTTCTGTTTTCTTTTCACTGACTATATTGTAGCGCAATGTGTAGCGTAATGCGAAGTTTTTTGAGCTAGTTCAAAACTGGTTGATGTGTTTTGCCACATGTTTTCATCAAAATGAGTTTGTTTCAGTTTGAAACAAAATTTTGAAAATTTTGGTTTTTGTCAATTTTTTTCTTTCGATTCGGTGGCTTTGCGTACCGCAAGTGGTGCGAAGCTTAGCTTCGCCTCTGTTTGAATTTCGTCAAACATGTATCTCAAGCTTTAGCTCGACCATTTATTTACTTTCAATTGATTGTTGCAGCATAGCATTGGCAGTTTAATAGCAACTGCAGCTGTTTATGGTAACTAGTATTGGTAAATTTTCAACCGATTGTTGCACAGATGCGAGAACGTGAGACTCATTGTCGGAGGTTCTATTCCAACTCATAGCAATTGTGATGTTTTCAATGCTGAGTTTTACCTTTTTTCCTTATTTCACTTTAATTTTGCTTTTCTAGAGCTACTTAGCTGTTTTCTCGCTGGTGTTTGCGAAGTGCAGCTTCGCGTGTGTGCATTATAATATAATTAGACCCTTTCTCATCGACATCTGAAAAAAGCCAACATTCGAGCTGTTCAACTCGTTTTTAGGGCTCCCTGTGGTGCTCATGTTCAAGATGAACATGTATTTTGATAGATTTTATTTATGGACTGAATAAAGACTTTCTCTTTCCAACGACGAAGAACTATCACGGGCAGAGACACATGATCAATATACATACACATGAGGCGACGTAGTTTTCTTAAAAACTTCTGAATAAGTTTTTCTGGACGTCGATATTTGCGCATTTTTAAGGCGCTGGTTCATTTTTTCAACAGATTTTTCCCGACCTCGCCTGAGATCAGCATCATTTTTATGGTATAACGAGAAGTTTTACGAGGTTAAGTATGCAGATCAAATATGCTTGTCATGACCTAATTAAACATGCCAAATTATGTAACAATCGGATAATGCGAACAGAAAAACTTTTTTAAAACTTTCGGAGATGGTGGTGGCGGGGGGGGGGGGGCAAAGAAAAAAGCTGTTTTTTCCATGTTAATGTTTTTTGCAAACCAGGTTTTTTAAGCGAGTAGAAGTTCGTGAGATTTAAAAAACTGTTAGCAAAGCATTTGTTGGCTCTGTACAACTCCCTCCTCCGCATATCGAGTTTTCCATTTTGTTAGTTGTCCTACGTGTTGTCATAGCTGTATGCGTAATGTTACGATGTTTACCATGCAAAATTTCATCGGATTGTGACAACGCAATAATCGTTTTTCAAACTTAAATCCAAATGTGGGGGGGGGGGGGGGTTGGAAAAGAGTCCAATCGTTTTGCATGTTTTTATATGTAAATTCGCAAGGAAATTTCAAAATTTCATGCGTTTTTGAGTGATGACATGGAAAATGAGCGATATAATGGGAAGTTAGGTGGGTATGTTTAATTTTTAGGTCTGCTACACAGAAGATAATTTGATGATGCTAAGATGTCACGCTGAGGTCAAAAACCCAACCACTGGGTTCCAAGAAACAAGCAACGAGTTCTACTTCGTGTTCGGAGCAGTGGACCAGAATCGGTCTCCATTGAAGGTTCCCGAGGTGAAACCAAGAAGCTACGCAGAGTATATGTTGTACCTCGATGGGCGAAGGAGGTTCAAAAGGTTCAAAGAATTCCTCAAACGCTATCATAAACCGTCATCTCGAATGTAAACCCAACTGCAACAGACTTGATTGACTCATTAGAACCATTAAAAATGGATAAATGTGTATTGCGCTTGAATGTTTAAGCTGCATTTCAATGAATTTTAAATTGTAATTAACAATGACAGGACACCTACTTATCAACACCTTTTTTCATCCGTATAGTTTTGCCTAGGAGTTTCACCAGGATCGTTTCATCTGCATAATAAAGCCATGCAAAGGTTAAAATAAATGGGTCAAATTTGGTGTATCCTGTTATATTTTCTGCCGCGCTTCTTTCTTCCTTTTTGCAATGACAATTGGGTTAAACCTGCTTTATCAAACTGGGTTTGTCGATCTAAGCTTCTTGCCTCGCTGGAAAATGGAACAGGACATTTGCATGCTAAGTGCAGCTTTTTTTGAGATTAAAAGCAATCTTGTAAATGTTTTTGTAGAAAAAAAAGTGATTTAATTTATATTTAGTGCTTTTTTTGCAAGACCAATGTCAACTTTCTTAAATGAGTTTTTGCCGGATTTCTAAAATTGCGCTGCCTTATCTTCTTATAAATATTTTCCACCAGTAATCATTTTGCGCAATTAGTGCAGGGGGTTTGACTACTGGAAATAGAGCTCGCATTAATTAGCTCTATATGTTATTCGCCGGGATTTACATAACGTTATTGATATATACGGCGAATCACTCATCAAGTTGTACTCCAACTCAACGGCGAACTAATCCCACTCAAAAAGCAGTCCAAATTTTTCTTGTGAAGTAAATGGTATCAATAATGCGTTATTGGAAGCAAATATATATCACCAAAACCTAGTTTATACAAAGATAGCTGGTTCACACGTAATGTGCACAGCAACCAGCTAACTTGAAAACAGAAACTAAAAAAAATTCTTATATAGATTCTATATCATGGTGATCAAAGGATTGAACGAAAGCTAAGATATAGGAATGTTTGATAATAAAAGTAAATCAGGCAATATCGAAATAATTTTCCTCTAAAAAAGAACAGAAAAGCAAAATTTAATTTAAAAAAAATATATATATGTTTTTTAATTGAGCGGAAAAGTTTTCATGGTTTATAAAAAAATTTAATGATTTTAATTTTTTATGTTTTATAATTATTGAAATTATTTTTTTTTCAGAATTTCGCCAACTCCATATATTGCGCGAGATTATTGAAATGCATTATTCATACGAATTTGATGTTAAGTTCTTATGCATTATGGGCAAATTTAATGTGGTGGCTTTCATTTAATGAAACTCCAAACTAATACATGCAAATTTAGAGTTTTTGTGCATTTTAAAGCTTTTGTGACGAGTTTTTTGCCGCTTTCTCGCTCGCGTTTGCGAAGTTGCAGCTTCACCTCCGTTTATAAAACTGCGCGCTCACTTCATTCGCTCGAAATGAAACTAAAAAGCAAAAATTTCCAACCGGTTTTTTTTTCAATATTGGGAAAATATTGATTTTGATCCGTTTCACTAGCTTGCCTTATAGCCGGGAGCTCGGTAAGATGGAAAAAAATCTTTTAAACCTGCTCAATTTAATATTGACATATTATTTACACACCGGAGCATAGTGTGATAGTTATGTTTTGAACCTGAGTCGCAAATAGAAGTGATACTTCTGGTGGCACAAAATTTCTACTTTTAGTAGCATTTTAGTGCCTCATAAGTGATACATTAGGTAGCTCTTTTGAATCAGGAGGCTAAAGTGGCACAGTAATTCCATGTGTTTTGAAATTTGATTTGCAATGAGTTAAAGGAGGTTATGCTTTTTTAGTTCATCAATTGAAGCGAAAAAAGCTATTGGTTTAAAATACAACAGTCAATTTTAAAACCTCTTCGTAATTATTCCAACTAATTATTTTGGGCGAAGTTCTTGAAAAGCATATTTCCTACAAAATGTGGCTTAACATTTTACAATTTATTGCATGGATGCCTTCGTGTGGCTGCCTTTCTTGTGTTTCTTTCTGGCTGGTATTTTGCCACAGAGGCTGTAGCGTTGCCTGTCTCTGTGTTGGAATTTTAGTTTGAACCTCTAAACAGATTGATTATTGAGAGATCCTGTGTTCCCTGGATGAGTCGAAAAAGTTAATTTTCAAAAGGGCATTTGATATAAATTAACCAATTTCTCAAAATATCCTGGAAACACGGGGTTTCATAATGAAACATCTGTTACGCTGTAGCAAAGTTTTTTGCAACTTTGTTGACAATAATAAATTGCGCTGATCTTTAGATGTTTATTAGGCTTTTAATCAGCTAAATTAACGTTTATATATTTTTTGTGGCCCTCGAATTATTTTGAACACCAAGTGAATTTATGATTAAAAAGATTTTTCTCCTATATGAGCTAATTTTGAACAGCGGGATCGTCGGGTTGACCAGAAAATTACAAACGTAAAAATTCCAAATTTTTGGCAGACAATGAAAAGAAAACCTTAAAACAGAAAACACTTTTCCAATTGTCTGTTGATTGGACTTTTTGGTATAACTCTTTTCTTTTTCATTTTTGATTCAAATTTGTTGCAACATCCTTGCTGAATTGTGTAGCAAACTCTTGCACACTTTTCTATTGGTTATTTTATTTTCCGTTTCCTTGGAAGTTCTTGCTTTGTGCAGCAACGACCATTTTATTTTTTTAAATTTATTTTCATTGATCTACCCAAGATTCGTACTATCTACATTTGTAGTCTTCAGATCAAACATGATTCAGAAAAGAACTTGAAAATGTTAAACAATAAATAAACGAAATTCGTCAAAAAATGCCTTTCACAATTGATTTACATAGGAAAAAAAAACGAAGAACAAACGATCTGAGGGCAGTCCACGAGATTCTTTACAGATGTAATATTACACTCCTTGCGATGAGCAAGGGTATTGCAACCGAGTACTACACTTTTGTAACCGTAAATAACTTGGTTCACAGAATGGTCAAATGATAAATTTTATAACCGCTGTTTAATAGCATGGTTGGAGTGTATGAAGTGCATATGTACCTTGTATAAACTTTTAAGAGTTGCAAAGCATTTTTTATCTGTGCTGAAAGTTTTTATTGGTTTTGTTTCTGTCGGCTTATTTTCCTTAAAAAATTTTCTATTATTTTTTGTTGGTATTGAATGAGAATAATTATTAATCTTGGTCGCAACTTTTGTTTAAAAGGTTGCGCGACCTGCTGTAATCATTACGTTTCCAAAAAAGAAGGCAATTCGCAAATTAGCTTGTTTTCGCTTTAACTTGTTTAACAAACTAGTTCAACCCTTTACTCACTTGTGGAGGTAACGGCCACGCTAGAGACGACACAAGTAATGGTTTCAAGACTGACAACGAGTTATGTTTTTATAAGATGGTTTTTGGCGCAGCGTAATTAGTATGCATATAGTACACTATGATGGGGGTTGTCATCCATGGATGAGCATTAGGTATAAATCGTGATGGTCATCATGTATTATATGACAACCAATACACCTCGTGCATTATAAGACAAACAATAGTCCCTATGTAATTTCTGATTGTTTTTCTTTCATTAATAGCTACAGTTTTTGTTCCTCTGGGAAATCTTAAAATAAAATCCAGTTCGAAATTAGAAGTGGATCAAGTTTGCGACTTATCTTAGAAAAAGATTAGTCGTACTATTACACTCACCATCACTTAAGTTCGCTTGTGTAAAAACAATAACTAGACGACAGAGTAGACAAAAAACCAAGTTGGAAAATAATACTTGGAACCAAGACCTTTCCTTAAAAATCTCAGAGCTAGATTCTGTCGTCTGCTCGCCGCCTATAAACAAAAAAAGCACTATAGCATAACTTTAGTTAATCTCAATTAATTAATCAGGAGGAGAGCACTCAAAGCGGACTCTTTTGTTCTTTAAGTCTGACAAAGCTAAACAAATAAGTTCACTATCTCCAATCAATCTTTGCGTACTTCAATCAGCAAACCTCATTTTTCATTAACAGTACTGGACAATCAAAGATCTAAGTTTTCACCACAATCTGTAGCAATATCCCGCATCAAAAGTCCAGCAAAAAAGCTCTCCCGAGTCCAAAAAAAACTCTATACGACTTTGCACAAGAATCTCGCCTATCAAAAAAACCATTGCATTCTGAAAGCTTTATTGGAATCGGCATCTGAGACAAAAAATTGGTGCGAAAAAAATCTCCGAGAAATTTCAGTCCTAATGTTTCAAACAGCATGCAGTAAAAAAAACATTATCTGAGCAAACCTAATGGCCCACAGTCATCTGAACATCTGAGATTACTGGCTTTTGGTTAAAAATCCAAGACCGCAACTTGAAAATTTTTCACTTACTCATTTTCCCATTTCCACCCTCTACACCCATTTTCACACTCTACACCTCTTTTCAACCCATTTTTTAAGCCCAGCAAGACAGCATCCTTCTTTCCATTTATCTGTGTTACCCTTGTAATCATATGTCCAATGAAGTGTTCGATACCGAGTCCATGGTATTGGAGTCCTATTTTCTTCCGCTTAACGAACACTTACACTCAATCAGGCGCTTAACCAATACACTAAGCGGCCAGCTGCCTGGAAGAAGATAATGTTTCATAGTACAGCAAAGTTAATTTCACACAAATTTGCTAAGTGGCTTAATGGAAAAAGTCTAGACCCTATTTCAAGCCAATTCCTCGGGCAAGTGTCAACAACAGAAATAATATATCTGAAACGAGCTTTTTTTTTTAGTTGATCAGCCTAATTTGAATTTTTCTTTGAAACCCTTTGCGAAAAAATAAATAAACAATTTTAAATGAATTCAAATAATCAAACAACCTATAATATTTTATACACGGTATCAGTATATCAATTAATTCAATAAAACAAGTCTATCTTTTGATTTGGGCAAATGGTAAAAAATGGATCCATTTTTTACCATTTGCCCAAATCAATTGTTTCAGGGGAATGTGGAACCGCTTCAGTTATAACTTGCTCAGCCTCACCATCCATTCTTCTTTGGTGGAGCACTTAGCTTCGCCTCTGTTTGAATTTCGTCAAACATGTATCTCAAGCTTTAGCTCGACCATTTATTTACTTTCAATTGATTGTTGCAGCATAGCATTGGCAGTTTAATAGCAACTGCAGCTGTTTATGGTAACTAGTATTGGTAAATTTTCAACCGATTGTTGCAC